CGGTGAGAAATAAAATGTTTTATATTTGTATTTTACTGTGTCTAGATACCACGGTGAGAAATAAAATGTTTTATATTTGTATTTTACTGTGTCTAGATATCACGGTGAGAAATAAAATGTTTTATATTTGTAATTTACTGTGTCTAGATACCACGGTGAGAAATAAAATGTTTTATATTTGTAATGTACTGTGTCTAGATACCAAGGTGAGAAATAAAATGTTTATATTTGTATTTTACTGTGTCTAGATACCACGGTGAGAAACAAAATGTTTTATATTTGTAATTCACCGTGTCTAGATACCACGGAGAGAAATGAAAAGTTTTATATTTGTAATTCACTGTTTCTAGATACCACGGTGAGAAATAAAATGTTTTATATTTATAATTCACTGTTTCTAGATATCACAGTGAGAAATAAAATGTTTTATATTTGTAATTTACTGTGTCTAGATACCACGGAGAGAAATGAAATGAAATGAGTTTTACGTCCTACCTTTTTGCACCGTGTGGGCTAATGAAAACGGGCAACGCCATGCAGGGTGCAATAAGGGAAATTTTGCGGACAATGGCATTAGCCTGCTCTTTTTTCGATTTCCAACTGTCGAGGGATCTTTAACGTGCAGAGTCTGTAGCACGGAGAGAAATGAAAAGTTTTATATTTGTATTTCAATGTTTCTAGATATCACGGTGAGAAATAAAATGTTTTATATTTGTAATTTACTGTGTCTAGATACCACGGTGAGAAATAAAATGTTTTATATTTGTAATGTACTGTGTCTAGATACCAAGGTGAGAAATAAAATGTTTATATTTGTATTTTACTGTGTCTAGATACCACGGTGAGAAACAAAATGTTTTATATTTGTAATTCACCGTGTCTAGATACCACGGAGAGAAATGAAAGTTTTATATTTGTAATTCACTGTTTCTAGATACCACGGTGAGAAATAAAATGTTTTATATTTATAAATCACTGTTTCTAGATATCACAGTGAGAAATAAAATGTTTTATATTTGTAATTTACTGTGTCTAGATACCACGGTGAGAAATAAAATTTTTTATATTTGTAATTCACTGTGTCTAGATACCACGGAGAGAAATGAAATGTTTTATATTTGTAATTCACTCTGTCTAGATACCACGGAGAGAAATGAACAGTTTTATATTTGTAATTCAGTTTCTAGATACCACGGTGAGAAATAAAATGTTTTATATTTGTAACTCACTGTGTCTAGATACCACGGAGAGAAATGAAATGAAATGAGTTTTACGTCCTACCTTTTTGCACCGTGTGGGCTAATGAAAACGGGCAACGCCATGCAGGGTGCAATAAGGGAAATTTTGCGGACAATGGCATTAGCCTGCTCTTTTTTCGATTTCCAATTTCGAGGGATCTTTAACGTGCAGAGTCTGTAGCACAAGGGGTCTAGGTTTATGGTCCTACGACTAGGCGCCTTTCCCATGTCAGACCATCTCACCTGCATCACTGACAGAGGGAAACCGGGTTGAAAAATCGATCCATATCACTTTTCAAAATTAGAAAATTCGACATCCAAATACTCTACAAGTTTACCACGAGTTTGTCACTATCAAGCCGATGATACTAACATAGTTTCGTACAGTTATATTGACTGACAATTATCGCAGGCGAACCACACATTTATGATTGGTTTTTGATTTCAAAAAAGTGATATGAATATCCGATATTTAACATTATTAGCGAGATAGGCAAATAGATAGTCAACTACATTTCTTTAATGATAAAGACATACGAGTTGAAATCAAATAAATAAGCGTAAAATTTAACATTGGCAAAAACACAAAAAAACAAACTTTCTAAGAGAATTGGAGGTTGGATGAATATAAATAGTAAATATCTAAAAGTATGTACTTACCGTGGATAACAATATTGAACTGTCTGATTTTGGATATTGACTGTACTATCGGTTTAAATAGCTGTAGGAAATTACTAATTATCTCTTTTTTTATTGATTATAACATCACGAGGATAGTTTTGGTTTAACTGCTTAACTCTTGGTTGATTTCGATTTCAATAACAATATGGAGAGGATTTAACTTGAGGGAGGGGTCGGGTAAAGTATGGGGAGGAGAAGGTCACGTGACATATTTACAATGAAGTTGTATCATAAAATTGTATTTGATTAAAATGGAGATTTAAGTTTTACCAAATTAAAGTATATAACGCCACGCAGTGTGCAATGAGACAAATCCGCAAGTCCAAGATATCAGAAACCTACTGAAGGATCTCAAAGTGACGTGTTCGCCATTTTTTAACAAATCTAAAAGAAAATTTTAGCTAATGTTAATGAACCGCGAGGAAACTTTGGCACAACGTAACAAAACCTGGATATGGAAACAAAAACGGTCAAAATCCCAGGGCACAATAAGTTTCGGGCACACGTGGCTGTCGTGGCCACCGGGAACATAGTGAAAACCTTACATAAGCTAATAAGTAATGTTCCCAGCTCACCGTCGAATTTGAGCCTTCAAATCCATATATGTCTAGAATTGTTCGCGTTTAAAATTTAGAAATACGACTCCCGAGACTCTGCCATATATAGAAAAGACGTAAAAAGTGAAATTCCTTGTTTGGGGCATGTATTATTAGTACATTCCTAGCTCTACATATATTTAAGACCCACATCAACCCATGGCGGGATACCTAGATATTTACTACTCCAGCTCAATTAGAACTGTTCGTATCAGTGTTCAGAATTAAAATACTGTGAATGGTTCATCTGCAATTCAATGAACAATGTCGTGAGGTCCCCGCCAAATTATTTTCGTGGGAGGAAGCAATTTGAAAAAGTATTCTTGTAATACTAATATATTTTTACAATGAAGAAATGTATATTTAAAAAAAAAGAATTGTAACCTTGAGCCTTTGATAACTTGAAAATTCAAAAAAAAAAAAAAAAATGAATGGCACTAACACGCTTCCGTATTTGAGAATTGAGGCCAATATAAAATATAATTATACAAACAATAATAAACAATATGCGATTCACCTGACTGGATAAACAACGGAAATGAGTGATTTTTATCTTTTTATGAGTTTTTGCTGATTTTAACTCAATATTGTAAACGATAAAACAACTTGAAGTTCAGTGATATAGATTTTTAGTGTATGGAGGAATGCACCATTCCAATTTTCCGTCAGATAGCTGTTGTCCCTGTAAGTTGAGACGGCTAATAAATTATTATAATATTTAATAATTATAAAATCAGATGAATCAAAAGAATATTTGAGAACCAATAGAATGATAAGGGGTAGTGAAAACACAACTGTAAGATAAGATTTATTGCATATACGACAGAATAAAACATAAGATAAAATATACAATATTACATGCAAAATAAACATCGAAATAACAATAGACAAATAACAAAGAAAAGATATCATAGTCCTCTTGAGGTTCTGATAGAGCAAAATAAAAAACCACAAAAATATCTCAAAGATGGGTCTCCTTATTTTTTAGCGTCAAATTAAGCAAACTATTTGATTAGTTGGTGTTTCTAATGAATTATCATGTATTCTCATATCTTTATGTTCATATGAATAAGAGTTTTAACCAATCATAAATGTCCATGTATGTACAGACTGGATAAACAAAAAAAAAGATTTTTTGTCATTTTTTGATCGGTCACTCATTGAAATTCTGCTGGTAATTCTCTTCTAATTTAGCTAATTATGAATTAATTATGGACATGTGAGACAAACTGGTATCCAAGAGTCATTAGAACACCTTTACTTTCTATTCATATAAGCTTAAGAATTTTCATTTTCATAAATGAAAATAAGGGAACCTATCTTTAAACTATTAAAGAGTGTGGGTTTAATGTAACATGAAGGATAAGTATACATTTGTATTAGAAGAACAAATCGGTGTTTTATAATTATTTCTGTAAAGGCCCTATCACACCTAGACGTTAGTCAGTGTAAACTGTGTATCAAAAACGCTCCAAGTCTCTGAGATTGACGCATTCTTTAATTTTAGGCGTATTCATAGCGTACTTATAATGAATTGAACGTAAACATAAAGTACCTATCGAGAACGTTTCGAAAACTTTTGATTATTAATACTAACGATCATTAATTTTGGTCAGCGTATGCTATGACGCATGACTAACTTACAGCTACCGTATAATGTCGTATTGTGCAGCGGTTAGGAGAAATATATAAATATTTTATGAAGTAAAAAAGTTTTATCCCCCTTATTTTGATAATTATATCATTCATTTATTTTTACAAATCTTTTGTTTATTTTTAGTGTTAAAGATGGGTGTCTTTATTTTTTAGTGTTAAATTAAGTAAACTATATTATGGTGTATATGTTGACCCCGGTATTGTCAACAAACAAATTTATTTTTATGGGATAAGAAGGTTTGGTTGGGCTCAGGTTGTACCTGTGGAAGAGAGAAATAACACAGTTAATTTCAATACAAGATCCTTTTTTTACACAGCATAAAATACGGAATCCATTTGACAATGTTTACATAAGATTATTGAGTATGGAAGTTGGCAAATTGGCAAATTACAGACACCAGTGTGAATGACATAATACGTGACCATATTTGGACTTGGGCTCATTACTATTCATGAAAAGCATGATGATTTGCCGCCAAAATGGCTTATAGTATACATTTTAATGAGGGAAATAACCTAAACGTCTTACAAACATGTTCAATTCCATCAAGACAATACATTGACTAAGTTCTCAAATAATTAACACTGTCAATACTTATTCTTATTATAAACATAAACATGGATGACTAATGCACATTTTGATATATAATTAATATAAATAAAAGTTAAACTTTACCTGTGGAAGAAAGAAATAACACAGTTAATTTCAATACAAGACCCTTTTTTTACACAGCATAAAATACGGAATAAATCTCCAAAGCAGAAGATTATTACCTCCCTTTACTTAACCATATGCTTCAGACCACAACAGTATACAGAAAATTAAGTACCCCCAAACCTGTACTCGGTTACATATATCATTATTTTCTTATATTGCATGTAGAGTTTTAACCAATCATAAATGTCCATGTATGTACAGTCTGGATAAACAAAAAAGACTTTTTGATCTTTCTTGATCGGTCACTCATTAGAATTCTGCTGGTAATTCTCTTCTAATTTAGCTAATTATGAATTAATTATGGACATGTAAGACAAACTGGTATTTCCAGTCATTAGAACACCTCTACTTTCTATTCATATAAGTATTAGCATTTTCATTTTCATAAATGAAAATAAGGGAATCCATCTTTTAATGTTATTATTTTTATATGTTTTTATTTGTATTTATGTTTGTTACGCGGAAAATAAATGACCTTTATCAATCAGAAAACAGAGTTGGTTTTACTACACGTGAAGTGTTGGTAGGGTCCCGAGATTCGGTAGACAAATTAAATATCGAGTACCAATTCGCCATTATACGTTTACTGTAAAGAAGCAACACGTTAAGTTATATTTTTCGTCCAGAAAACGTCGAATACAATTGAAATAAGTTCGACATTTGTTCAAAGCACGTTCTCCTAGGTTAGAAGTTGCCTATCTTCTTACTGCGACATATACCAACTTGCTCCAATGTTTTTCAGCTTATTCGATGAACAACAGCGTTTTGGACAAATTTTTCATACGCTTGCCTAATCGTCAATGTGTAGAGGTTATTGATTGTCCGTTTTACAGAAAGTAAATATATAGAGTGTAGCAGAGTAAGATCGAGGCCCAGCCAAGTACTTCCCAGCTAATTTAAGGTTCAATATTATTTGTGATTTAAATTGAGTGTGCAACGTCAAAGTCGATTTTCTCCAAAGTTTTCAAAAAATGTGAATTTCTGTTTTCGACTGAAATAGATAGAAGACATGTTAAACTAACGTTTGGAATAAAAATTATACCTCTAGAGTCAAAATTGGCTGAGTTATGGCCATTTTAGCGCGGGGGTGGGGGTCGGCAGGCAGCCTATACAGTCTCTATACAATCTAGTGGCAGCGGTCGAGGTAAAGACCAAATCTTTGACAGGCTGCCGTTCGAAAACTATCACAGACGAAATTATGAAATTTGCACTGCAGGTCCGGACCCATCTGAAGTTGTAATGTTTCAAATTTCAAGTTCTTACCGTGAAAACTCTGCCTGTTACAGCACTTTTGTTTTCTGATTTCTTCCCCAAACTACAAAATAAGAGATTTTCCTCTTGAAAATTTGGGTGAAACTTTAAAGTCGATTTTCTCGAAACCTTTTACAAAATACGAATTTCTTGTTTTGACTGAAATAGATAGGGGAAATGTTAAAGTTTAGTTTGCGACAAAAATTATACCTCTCGGGTCACAATTGGCGAAGTTATGGCCATTTTAGCCGCGGGGTGGGGGCCGACAGTTTTCCTATAGAGTCTAGTTGCAATGGTAGGGGTGAAGGCCAAAACTTTGACAGGCTGCCCTGGGAAAATTGAAATTTGCACTGCAGGTACAGACTGGTTGGAAGTTGCTGTGTTCCAAATTTCAAGTTCCTACCGTGAAAACTCTGCCTGTTACAGCACTTTTGGTTTCTGATTTCTTCCCCAAACCACAAAATAAGAGATTTTCCTCTTGAAAATTTGGGTGAAACTTTAAAATCGATTTTCTCGAAACTTTTCTCCAAAATCCGAATTTCTTTTTTTGACTGAAATAGATAGGGGACATGTTAAAGTTTAGTTTGCGACAAAAATTATAACTCTCAGGTTTAAATTGGCGAAGTTATGGCCATTTTAGCGGAGGGGTGGGGGTCGGCAGTTTTCCTATAGAGTCTAGTTGCAATGGTAGGGGTGAAGGCCAAAACTTTGACAGGCTGCCCTGGGAAAACTATCAGAGATAGAAAGCTGAAATTGGCACTGTAGGTACAAACTGGTTGGAAATTGCTGTGTTCTAAATTTTAAGTTCCTACCGTGAAAACTCAGACTGTTACAGCACTTTTGGTCTCTGATTTCTTCCCCAAACCACAAAATTAACGATTTTCCTCTTAAAAATTTGGGTGAAACTTTAAAATCACTAGATTGTATAGAGACTAAAATGGCCATAACTCAGCCAATTTTGACCCTAGAGGTATAATTTTTTTTTTGCAAACGGTAGTTTGACATGTCTTCTATCTCTTTCAGTCGAAAACAGAAATTCACATTTTTCGAAAACTTTGAAGAAAATCGACTTTGAAGTTGCACCCTCAATTTCAAGTGGAAACTGGCTTATGTTTTGGTTTGGGGAAAAAGTCTGAGATTAAAAGTGCTGCAACTGGCAGAGTTTTCACTGTAGGAAGTGTTTTTCTGTGATATTTGTTTTTATCTTTTTTTTTTTGCATCGTTATATTTATTTTATTAATACCTTTTTAGTTTTAATTTAGACTTGTGTTGATCAAAACGTGATATGCCTAATTTCTTGTAAAAATTGCGATATATAATGTGGCGAAACTGAAAATGCATTGCCTATCCGTTTAAATAGGCATCGTTACGACATCGTAAATGGCAAAGATAAATCGTGCTTGTTATTATTGGGATTTGATGCACTCGATTATTTTTTTTTATGAAATACCAATGTTCCGGAACGTAGTATAGAACACACCATTACTAACGTTTCCCAGGATTTTTGATTATGACGTCACTCTATTATTAGTAGTACTAGGCGCTACAAGTATAAGAGGACAGTGGAAGTAAACGTATGAGCGAAATTATACATTATATTCATCTTACAGAGGAAATAGTCTAGTTAACTAGGTAGGTTGTCATCGCCTTCCCCTTATTCTTACTCTAAATCTTGTTGAAAACCTACGCGGTCAAATTTGACAATAAAAAGATATAAAATTTGAACCTTAGCATAGTCTACATTATATCACTACTACAGAAGAAATAGGAATTGTATTAGATTTTAACTTAAAGTGATATGGTACTTTAAGCATATTTTAAGATAGAATAAAAAAAAAAAGGTTAACAAATTTGACATTGGTTATCATGACAACATAGAGACTTATTTCCGCAACGTTACGGAGCTTAGCGTAGTTAACCGAACAATAACGTTCGTGTAAAGATATTATGACGTCATAGTACATTCGTATCAGTTCCTTGGCTTTTCATGTTTTTGTGGCAGACCATCAGAATTTGAGAATATTAAGTAAAAGTAAGTTATTGTTTGCCTCTATACAGATTTCCAAGTGGAATTTTGTATTCTTTAATTTATGTGAGAGGTAATTTGAACGTAATGTAGACTATCTTTTCAAATACTGTTCTTATTGAAGTTTCTTATGATGCTTCAGATTGGGATCCAACAGAAAAACAACTATTGCTGTTTTACCAGGATAAATCTTTATTTCTACTATCAGCTATCCTTACCATTTTTAAGAATTAAAAATCAAAATCTGCTTCGTCTACAGTTTAACTGAAGCATCCCGTGAAAATAATGGCATGTGCAGGAAATGGATATTGATTGACGGGTTGTATTTTTCAAGTACCTGAATTGTGTACGACTTGTTATTTATTTGTTTCCAGATTCTACAATATGGATCTCAACCAACAAGAGTTGGAATTAAACCAACCAGTTCAGACCAGAGACCGATCTAGTAGATGTCACTCTAGATTAGCTGACGCTTTAGTATTTGCCGCATATAACCCTGAACGACCTGAATCGTCACCTGAGCGACTGACAGAGTCGTCATATGAAGCAGGGGTCTCTTCAGAGCAACCACCACTGAGAGCAGCATCAGTTAATATGTCATCAAGAAGTGATACTGAACAAGCAGCTTCTGCCGAATCATTAACTGAAATAGCGGATTCAGATCATCCACCCAGAAGAACGGCGTCTGATATTGAAACTGTGGCTATGCCTGATTATAAGACAAGTGTTTCTCGAACTTACTCGGAAACTGACAAGGTAAATTTTATAATAATTTATAACCTGTGGGACAGTTGCTTTCACAGTACCCGACAAACTCTATGTTCGGTCACGTCGACATAAGATGGTAGTAGTATTGTGGACTGTGTTATGGTCATGCTCTCTCACTTCTGTTTTATTTATCAGATGCATTCTTAGAAAGGCGTTCATAGTTCTGAAATTTCAGCAATACCCAAATCCTGCACTATTATCTTTATCATTCCAGGCCCATTTACCAGCAAACAGATTGGACATTATATCAGGAATAGGAAGTGCTCTTGCTAGTCCAGAACCTTCCTTATTTACTATGGCCTACCGAATCAAAGATTCCCCATCTCCTTTTAAGGCCAGTCCACTGCCACCCATTAAAGGTTCCCAACTCGAACAGGAACTGAAATTTAATTATTTTGAATTTGGGCTGGAAACAAGCGATGCTGAATTAGATAAGAAGAAACATAAGAAATTTGACTATTTTGAAATTGGGCTGGAAAGTGAACCGGAAATGGAAAGTAACCAACAGGTACATGAACTAACAATGCAAGAGCATCAAATCGACAATAACAAAAATAAAAAGGCATTTGACTATTTTGAAATCGACATGGGAACCAGTCATGTTGAACCTAAAACATCAGATAAGAAGAAAAATAAGAAATTTGTTCGTTTTGAAATTGATATGGAAACAAGTCATGTTGAACATAAATCATGGGAGACAGATACTAATCTGTACGAAGACTTACAGAGACAAGATAGGGATAGAGTAGAAGATCAGTTAAATAACTTAGATGTAAATGAGAAGAATGATTTAAAATCTAGACCAGTAGTTGCAGAAGAGAAAACATTGAATTACGAATCTGTCCAGATGGAAAAAAACCAATTAGCTGAAACAGATTATAAAAATACAGAAGATATGGAAACAAGTCATGTTGTACATAAATCATGGGAGAAAGAAAATAATCTGTACGAAGACGTACAGATATACGATAGGGATATAGTAGAAGATCAGTTAAAAAACTTAGATGTAAATGAGGAGAATGATTTAAAACCTAGACCAGCAGTTGCAGAAGAGAAAACCTTGAATCCCGAATCTGTCCAGATAGAAACAAACCAATTAGCTGAAACAGATCATAAAGAAGATGTGACTCAAACACTCACAAAAGTTATAGAAAAACTGGATGATTTACTTAGCATGAGTAAGTCAAATATCCAAGTACACCCTCCTAGATATCCGAAGCCACCTAATGTTTCCAAAGGTCAAATTATAGTCCGAGGAACTAAGGCTTCACGATTAAGACAGGACAAATTACGGGTGCAAAATGAGGTATCAGATGTAACACAAGATGTTTTACCAGCAGTTGCAACAGCAGATAAAACCCCGGAACAACGAACACTGGTAAAATCGAGTCTACCAAGGTCTCGTACTTCTCCTCCACCAACTACAAAAAAGAAGCCTGTCCCACCACCAGCGTTAGCAGTCCGGGAGACAAAAGCTACAAAGCTAAGACGTCTAAAAAAGATGGAAGAAGAAAGAGAAACTAAAGAGCAAAACCAAGAAGAGAAATTGAAAGACATGGCATTTGATCAATCACTTATAGAGTTATTACATAGAAAGAGAACTCCAACGCCAACATTTAAACCAGCTCCTCCAAAACCTTATAAAAAGCCAGGACCTGTTTCTATCAAAGAGACCAGGGCATCGAAAATGCGAAAGATTCAAGAAAATTTAAAGAAAACCGGAAAAACAGTAGCTGCTAACGAAATCAAGTCGCAAGATAGGTCACAAAAGCAACCTCCTCCAACTAATGTCAAAGAAACACTTGCTTTAAAGTCGCGTCAAGCTAGATCCCCGGCACCAACTTTTAAACCGGCTCCTCCAAAACCTTATAAGAAGCCAGGACCAGTAGTTGTAAAAGAGACCAGAGCATCTAAATTGCGTAAGATGCCTGAAAACATTAAGAGAGCAGACAATAAAGTACCAATCAAAAGCAATAAAACATCAGAGGTATCGAAAAAACGACCCTCAAAAAAGCAACCTCAAGAAAAACCACTCAAGAATGAATTGGTGCGTTCTTTGACACCACTGACCCCTCATAGATTGCCTCCAATTTCCCAGAATGGAACCAAAAGTATCACAGGGGATGAGGGAGATGCTACTCCCGTTATTCTCAAAGAACTTCGAAAGTCTAGGAGGTTTTATGAAGAGAACATTGAAAACGAGGATTTAGTGACTACACCAATAGTAAAATGGTCTGGCAGTAGAACTCTCCTGTGGTTAGTCGACTGTCCCAGTGATAATGTTTCAGAAAGCTCTAACCAAAGCACAGATTCAAGTCCTGGCGAATTTGACGATGATGTTTCAGAAAGCTCTAACCAAAGCACAGATTCAAGTCCTGGCGAATTTGACGATGATGTTTCAGAAAGCTCTTATCAAAGCACAGATTCAAGTCCTGGCGAATCACACGAGGATATTTCAGAAAGCTCTTATCAAAGCACAGACTCGAGTCCTGGCGAATCCACTGATGACGTTTCAGAAAGCTCTGATCAAAGCACAGATACAAGTTCTGCTCAAACAGATGTGTGGGACGGGGAATTTGACCCGGTAGCTATTAAATACTACCGATCTTTGACCCCTGTACATATAGAATGGAAGCCTCCACCTAAAAAAAGAATTTTAAGTCCGATCTCTAGAGTTGGATGTGGAAAAGTCAGTAACGCTGTCAGCCCATCCTGGAGAATAGAAAGTCCACTCATGACTTCCACACCTTTTCCGAGAAAAGACAATGAAAAAGATGAGAAGTTTCTTGATAGATCGGCGAGAGATAAACTGTGTAGGATGGAAGTATCACGAGGGTTTAAAGTAAGAAAAGAGATCAGAATGGCTATGGACGAGCAAGGAATGCAATGGGAGTCAGAATTTAAGTCAGATATCAAAATTACAGAAGAGACCTATCGAGTTCAAAGATCTGTGGATTCCAACAAACAAATGGTACAAAATGAATTAGATGGTTTGAGAGAACGATTAAGACAGGCTGAAGAGAAAGACAAATTGAAATCAAAAGACAAATCATTCTGTAGTAGTAAATTCAAAACTTATTTCAAAAGTAAGAAAGCTGGCTCAGATGAGAAGAAAGAAAGAAAAGAGACAACGGATGAATATTTTAGAAAAACTGAAGAAAAGTTTTCTAGGTATGTATCACCATTTTAGGTAAAAAAAATAAGATGTTCTAGCCTGTGAATGTGTCTGGAAAACTTATATTAGCTTCATATCGTTTTCTAGTCTGATGTCTGTCAATAGTAAACGTCACAAATGTATGATTGATTGAATTAACTAATTGTTAATAACTGGATTTCGTTGTAGGCAGTTGAGCCAAGATTGGGTAACATTTCTCTTACAACAAAATTGTCATCATGAAATGTTAAAGAAAGCCAGACTACAGGAGGAGTTGATTTACCAATGGAAATCACAAGCCATTCGTTATAAAATTTTACACACTATGCTGGGAAAGGATTTAAAGGAAGGTAAAAAGAGGAGTTGGTATTTGTAAGAGACATTAGCAATAAAAGGTATACAAGAGTGGAACAAACATAAATTCATGCTGTGAATGGTTCACAGCAGAGCTGGCCACGCAAGATTGTAGAATTCACAGTAAGGCTGGCCAAAGAGGATTGTATTGTTCACATGAACGTTGATAGCAAAGGAGTTTATGGTTCATAAGAACTTTTTTAACACAAGAGTGGATGATTCACAATATAGATGGCCGTACAGATGCCATACGGGAATGCGTGTTTCATTGCTGACCGCATAGGAGTACATGGTTCATAGGAGAGCTGGTCTAAAAGGAGTACCTTGTTGACAGAAGAGCTTGCCACAGCAGGTTATGGGAGAAACAATTTATGGCTCTAGGGTTAGCTGTTCAAGGGCATTCCTAATGAATGTAAAACTTGCATGAAGAAAACAAAGTATATAGGCATGCTTCCATTAATATTTAACATATTGTTTTACAGCAATTGTTATATAAATAAAGTAATTAATTTATGCAGTCCAATGTGTCCTCCGTGGCCCCTCCAAACGCCCAAGAATAATTTATTTTATTGTGGAACCCTGCATCCAAAAAAGTAAAGAATACTCTTTCAAATTAAGGTCGCTTACTCGTGTGTATAATTTTGCATGAATAATTGAAAATATAGTTATTTTACCGTGTGTTCTAGCGAGCCAAAGCTTGTGGAAAGTGAAATTTCTAATTCAAGGTACTGAACATTTGAAGGGATTGTGAAGACTATTTACATATATTTAAGACCAAAATCATCCCCTAAAATGGCGAACCGGGATGATATATGTGCACATCAGACCGCTAAATATCCTTATTTATGATAACAGGATCGGTGTCGAATACAGTGAGGCGAACATTTGATCAATCAAGCTAATCAATACTACTACTACTGGACTACCGGCTTAAAATTTGCCCAACTAAATTAATAGTCTTCCTTTAATACATATACTTCAACCTGGTTTCCCCCTGTCAGTAATGCAGATAAGAGGGGCTGACATGGAAAAAGCATCTAGTCGTTCGGATGGAATAATAAACCGAGACCCCGTCTGCTACAGGCTGTACACGTTAAAGATCCCTCGATCTCGATCCCTCGAAAGAGCAGGCTAATTTTGCTTTACTGGCAAAATGTCACTAATGTAATGTGACTTTGTGAACTTTTAAATGGCCGATGCGAGATCAGTTTCGTTAAAGATTTGATGGAACCGGAGACGTGACATAAATGGTGGAGAAAAAAATGGTATGAATGAACTAGGTTTTGCAGATCCGAGTTATCTAAATAGGTTTAAAGTCCCACACCTGCCGAGATCCGGAAAGTCCCCATTTAACAGGATCTGTTTTTTTCTGACTGTACATCAGCCGGCATCTGTCTATATAGCTATCAGAGGCTGGAATAGAGACAGGTGTTTCGGTCTAGTTTACTATGAACAATGTTTTCATTTAAAGGGATTAGTTCATTACGGGCTAATAAGACCATGTCAAAACCCGTATTCGTGATACGGTGGGTAAACGAGGAGCCTGTATTTATCCGACACATTTCATTCCAAGATTTAAAGTCCCACACCTGCCGAGATCCGGAAAGTCCCCATTTAACAGGATCTGTTTTTTTTTCTGACTGTACATCAGCCGGCATCTGTCTATATAGCTATCAGAGGCTGAAATAGAGACAGGTGTTTCGGTCTAGTTTACTATGAACAATGTTTTCATTTAAAGGGATCAGTTTATTACGGGCTAATAAGACCATGTCAAAACCCGTATTCGTGATACGGTGGGTTCACGAGGAGCCTGTATTTATCCGACACATTTCATTCCAAGATTAAATTAGTATCTGTCTGCTCTTATCCAATGAAGAAGTTGAATAACGGTTAAGAACTGGAATATTGAGCTTCTAGTATCTACGACCAATCAAGCATCGATGATACGAGCATGAAGAGTTTTGATGGGCCTAAATATTATGAAAGTTTGCTTCCCGCCTGGATTATCGCCTTCCCCTTATTCGGTTGGGGTTCAGTCAGAAAAGGGAGTAGATTATTATAGCGTTAGGCATGATCACCAGGAAAAGGTTTGATTCAGTTCAGTTGAATAATCCGTGTATTGGGAAAATTAAGAAGTAAACAAGTAAACATGCTACTCGGTTATGCCGATGGTGATTAATTTATACCACGCGCTGATAATCGGCCGTCAAAAGAGTTGATATGATTTGCTTCATTAAAAACGCCTATTACTTGCCATGTTAATTCATTAAACTAAAATATCTCTGAAGATGACAATACTGGTAATGGTAACGTTAGAGTTGAGTCTGTTGACGATACGATTGCAAATGGTTCTGGTGTTAAATTGTTAATAATCTTTCGAAAGATTGATGATAATGAAGATGCTACTCAAAATTGTGAAGATGCGAAAGATGTTACTCATAATTTTCAACATTCTCGTGTTTTTTGGTTATGCTCAATATAAAAAATCCAAAATATAATTTCTGTAATAAGTGAGGAACGCTTCCAGATAATATTTATCTTCTTCTCATCACATTTTGATTAATGAAAAATAATACTGAAATCTCTCCACAATCTACTTGTAGTAGGGTGTTAAATAGTTCTTTTCTAAAAGACCCTAATATCGCACACTTATTGACAATGAAACTTTCCATTGAATCCTAGGCATGTCTGGGCCTTCTCTTTTAAACTCAACTTAAGTACTAGACTAATGGGATAACTTGATATATTGAATAAAGAAGCACTTTGCATTAAGACTGTTATGCAGATTATAATAACCCTCGAACTATCATCTGGTTAATAATGTATTTAATATGGGAGATGTGCAATCCATTGAAAGTTAACGGTTGTGATTGAAGATTTGAAAAAGAAAAATTTCACATTGTAATCAGTGCTCTTTCAGAATTAATAGCAACACTTCTTTTCCTCTTCAAATGCGTCGCCTAAAGAAGGCGACAAAATTGTAATTTATCTGCTATTTTGTTTATCTTGACGATATTACCACTCGATATTTCTCAATAAAATCTAATTCAGGTATTCGTTTCGTCTTGGTCATCTGTCATTTATCAACATGCAGATGAAACTATGTTTTCACTGTATGACCTGTCATCTGACATTGAATCACTTACAACACGGCATGTTTAACTTATTTGGATGATTAATATTGACAAGTCCGAGTTTCTTTTTGGCTATTCTTGTTTGAAAGCCTTCTTTTGTTTGAGGCAAAGGGAGGTAACTGGGTCTCAGCCTACAGACCACTAATAGAGTTGTTTAATTTGGCTGCTTGTCAAAATCGATAGTGAGGCTGAGTCTCCATGCTTTTTTGTCAGGGCGCCATTTTTAGTCAGAGTTCGTTTTGTCAACGGCCTGTTAACATCAAATAAAGTTGTAAGTCAACATCGTATACCTTTGTTTTTTATTGTTCTATGTCTTCAGTCATGTTCCTCGCAGAACAGTTATTCTTGTTGTTGATCATTGGTATATCTCGACCTGACAGTTTTACGTGAACGACATGGAAACCCATGATTGATAAACTCAGAATGTTATGAACTTGTAGTCCAGAAGAGATTCTATTATAAAAGATAAAGTTACAGTTATAAATACCTTGTGTTTAAGTATGCTGTGGTATTAACTCCAAATCGTAAATACGCCACGTTGGGATTTGCATACAGTTGAATCGAATTATCACGTTTACTTGTGGAATTAAAAGTCTATCCTATTCAAATCTTTATCCTTAGAGTTGTACTAAATTTTTCGCAACACAGGAAAACTGAGAAAGAACAAGGTTTAATTTTGAGGCTACACACATGAGATTTGAGATTGATCTTATTGATGTGTTCAATATCACGCAAGATGAATATATTTTCATTTAAATTGTCATTTTCTATCAGTTAAATAATGCGTCTAATAGCCAAATGATATTGCAAGAAGAGAATCATATTAATTCTAAACTCTGACAGGGTTTTATATTGTGTGTATTCGAAATTGAAAGTTTCAATATTTAAAAAAATAAATCGCGATATCTATGGCAAATACGATAAATATATTTCACCAAATCAGATTTGTTGAATTATGTGTAAAATTCATGATAACACCAACTTTTAGTTTAAATATATTTACATTTACGAGTTTATCTACATTTGTTATATTTTTTGTTTGTTGGTGCAGTTATTTCCCTTGATCTAAAATTCGTCTTTTCTCCTTACTTGCCATGGCAATTCAATGTTGAGTTTTTCTATTTCACATTCAACTGTTACATTTTTTATTTATTTTGATTAACGGGTTTGTCTCCCTATATCAAACAACGTCGACTTATTAGAGGTACAATTTATTAATCCATCTTATATTGTGTCAAATTCTTAAATCAACATTAATGTTTTCAATAAATCTATTGTGAAAGTGAAAGTCTTTTATTGCTTAAACAGTGTGTACAGATCGACAAAAGGTTTGGCGCAGTATATTATATGATATCAGCCCATGTAAGCTACCCAAGGAAAAATCAAATGTTCACAATACCCGCCTTGATGAAATACTCAAATTATATTATTTTTGGAATATTTTTGTTTGTTAGCACAGTTATTTCCCTTGATATGAAATTTGTGTATAGTTTCATTAACGACTAAAGGGACAGATACGCCATTCTTTTTGACCAAATATACTTTAGTCTCAGAATTGGGGATTTTTTAGCCAAGCCCATCAGTAATAGTGTTCGCGGCTCACCGTTGAAATTTGGGCCTTCAAATCCACGTGTGTCCAGAATTATCCGCATTTGAATGTTAAAATGACGACTCGTCATTTTAAGATCTCTGTGATTTATAGAAAAGACACATAGAAATAGTGAGTAAAATTGCAATTTTCGTATATTTCTAATACTTCTGAAGACTAATGACATATTTTCAAGAACAAATCAATCCCCCAAAATGGTGCATCTATACCCTCAAGATTGGATTTTATTCTTACGGCAAGTTACATCTGGGATGTTAAACAGCAATTTATGTTGTTTAAAATTGGATAGGAAGAAACTAACTGATGTAGGCTTACACAGGGAAAAATCTAAAAGTTAAATTAAACCCGCTTATTGATATTTAAAAAAAAACATTGGCCAGCCTTAAAGATTTTTCGGTTTCGGGGTTACGTCATACAGCTTTAAATCTCTACATGCGAGGGATCATACATATTCTCACAGGGCTGCGAGGAACATGACTGAAGACATGGCACGATAAAAAAAAAACAAAGGTATACGATGTTGACTACAACTTTATTCGATGTTTACAAGCCGATGACATTACAAACACTGACTAAAAAAGGGGGCCTTACAAAAAAGGATCCAGACTAAGCCTCACTATCGATTTTAACAAGCAGACAAATTAAACAATTCTATAAGTGGTCTGTAGGCTGAGACCCAGTTACCTCCCTTTGCCACAAACGAAAGAAGATTTTTAAACAAAATATTTTTATTAAATGGATCGTGTCGTCCCAGGTAAATCATCTGGCACATTTGTGAAGCTTTTCCCATGCCCAATCTCGCATTTTAGCTACCATAGACAGACATTGCAAGTGAACTAATAACCAATATTTCGATCTTCCCGGAAGCAGGTCATCCTCATGGCTCTCAGTCATGTTTGAATTAAGTCCATTTGAATTTGAATTTTACATTGCAAAATGAGGGGAATAACTCCCAAAAAATGTTACTGTGTTTGGTTAGTTGTAGATACAGTACACAAATTATCAAACATCAATTATTGCCACATAATGTGTTATCTTGCAGAGAGAGTAAACAAACTATCAAACATCAATTATAGTCACATAATGTGTTATCTTGAAGGTAGAGAGTAAACAAACAATCGAACATCAATTATTGCCACATAATGTGTTATCTTGCAGAGAGAGTAAACAAACTATCAAACATCAATTATAGTCACATAATGTGTTATCTTGAAGGTAGAGAGTAAACAAACAATCGAACATCAATTATAGTCACATAATGTGTTATCTTGAAGGTAGTGAGTAAATAAATTATCGAACATCAATTATAGTCACATAATGTGTTGTCTTGAAGGTAGTGAGTAAATAAATTATCGAACATCAATTATTGCCACATAATGTGTTGTCTTGAAGGTAGAGAGTAAACAAATTATCGAACATCAATTATAGTCACATAATGTGTTATCTTGAAGGTAGAGAGTAAATAAATTATCGAACATCAATTATTGCCACATAATGTGTTATCTTGAAGGTAGATAGTAAACAAACTATCGAACATCAATTATAGTCACATAATGTGTTATCTTGAAGGTAGAGAGTAAACAAATTATCGAACATCAATTATTGCCACATAATGTGTTATCTTGAAGGTAGTGAGTAAACAAACTATCGAACATCAATTATTGCCACATAATGTGTTATCTTGAAGGTAGAGAGTAAACAAACAATCGAACATCAATTATTGCCACATAATGTGTTATCTTGAAGGTAGATAGTAAACAAACTATCGAACATCAATTATAGTCACATAATGTGTTATCTTGAAGGTAGAGAGTAAACAAACAATCGAACATCAATTATTGCCACATAATGTGTTTTCTTGAAGGTAGTGAGTAAACAAACAATCGAACATCAATTATTGCCACATAATGTGTTGTCTTGAAGGTAGTGAGTAAACAAACAATCGAACATCAATTATTGCCACATAATGTGTTATCTTGAAGGTAGAGAGTAAACAAACAATCGAACATCAATTATTGCCACATAATGTGTTATCTTGAAGATAGAGAGTAAACAAACTATCGAATATCAATTATTGCCACATGATGTGTTATCTTGAAGATAGAGAGTAAACAACCTATCGAATATCAATACAATTACATAAAACTATAAACTTCACACTACCTGGCAAATATAATAATAATCATAAGAGTAGGGAGTATTTTGCATTTCACATTTTCCATCTTCTATATGTAAATGAAGATAATAGAAATCTGATACATCAATGGGTTGATTTGGACCCCAAATGAATGCCAACATCTGTTCATCATTACTGAACCACCAATCTCCGTTCATCGAAATATCCTCCTTTCCATCAATTATATATTCTCCATATCCATCTAAAAAATTAAATACGTTGCTCTTAAACTGGGGTTGCCTTGTTATTGAATCTAGGCTTGATAACAGAAAGATCTGCTGCCTTGTCTAGATTTATTCTCCCCCCCCCCCCCTACCCCGATCCTGCTCCCGGCCCTTGACTAGTCTCAAAATATTGAAATGATACTTACTATCTGTTACCATGAGTTGATCACAGATATGTCGATAGGCATCATCTGTTTTAGCTCTGACTATTACATAGCCATCATTTTCACAGTTTGAGTAAGCTTCGTCTACATTATAAACCATATTCAAAAATGGTTTATAACATAAATCATATTTTCTGTTTCTTACAAAGTCAACTGGGCAATTCTCTGTGGAAAGAAAATATATATCAGTTAATGTGTTGTGGAGATGCTCATGCATCTAAACTTTATTAATGGGACTGATGCGACTTTTTTAAGGGTTGATTTGGGTCTTCAATATATGTAAATAGTCTTCAGAACTATACCCAAACTGTATGGAAATCGCAAAATTCCTTCAAATAGATCTCACACAAAAAAATTTACGTTTTGCTTATTTCGTTCACAAGCTTATCTTCTCTCTGAATATTTGGGTATCCAAAAATTGAACGCCTTGTTGACATTTTACGTCGTAGCTGTGCGTTGACGAAGTAGGTCAGGATAGTTGGGCCTACTGTAAACTCGTGACGTCTTTAAGGGATATTTAAAATAAAAAGCCTCTTAAAATGACCACTCGTTAAAAAAAATTTCAAACATAGATAATTATGGATACACTTGGATTTGAAGGCCGTATCTGTCCCTTTAAGTGTGTGAGTTGAATTGCTTTGTGCCTTAATCATTGTTACCCTGAGAATTTGGTTTACCTAAAGATGATAAAGTGAAGTGAATGTCGGCGATATCAGATACCAACCAATAGTGGTGATGTTGCAGCTAAATATCGGGATGAAGTAAACACCTTCCCATTATATTTCTAATGTAAGAAACAATTGCCAAAATTTCATCAGATTAGTGTATAGCAGAGACAAACCTCCACGCGTCAATTTTGGTGAATTGAATTACGACATACCGTAGTATACCTGAACGATAATTTGTGCGGATTCGAGAATCTTTACTTTTCACTCAAACGTAAATCTTGACAAATAGTGATGATTGGTGGTGTCCGAAAGTTATCAAGTTCATTAAAAAAAATGAAAAAAATAACGAACATGTGAGCACGTGTCACGTTAGTAGGTTACGAAATGTTTTCAGAATGTAAGTAAAAAGTGAATATCCTAGATCTTTCATTACCTTTATTACAATACTAGTGAATTCTTTCATTGTATTGCATGGTAAACTCTGATTTATAATAAGAAAAATGGCGTGGGTAGTAAAAGAGAACAAAATATAGAAAATTATAAACCCCGAATTCTAGTTACCTTGATACAGAGTGTAATAAGAGTTGTCATATTCTGGTTCTACATCTGAATAGGGTTGAAACTGGACTGATTATTTCTGAATATTTATTATAAAAGAATGATACACATGCTAAGTCTCTGGAGCACTGAATCCCACAAATTGTCACTGACTGTATATTATCTAAATGTAACAGTGTATAATCTTCAGATGTCGTATCCTCCAAATCATCTCTTCTGATCACCGAAATTTTCATCGAGCACACAATATAAACTACAATTGAAAACAACACCAAACAAAGATTTATCTTCATTTTGTACAAAGCTGAAGTGAAGTGTAAAATGAATATTGCACAATAGGATCTGAAATTAATGTTACACGTTGAACAGATCAGTACTAAATGGTATATAGAAGACGTCTGGTTGCTATGAACAATGATATAATTATAATATTAAAGGACGACAATCCAGAAATTTCAATAAGCCAAGTAAAAAAACTTTGGATATAGATTTTATTTGCTTGAAAAAAATATCTAATAAATATATCCAATGAAATTATTTGCCCTTTTCACCAAAATGGATACTTGTCATGTCCGGGTCATAGTGCATATCGTGTGATTTCTGCACTAACTATACTGAACAGATGGCCTATGGACTGACCTTAGTTACCCCTCGTACGTTGAAACCATATTTTGAAACTTTGTTCTGTGTGAGTTTCTTGATGTCGTGAACCAATCTGGTAAGGCTAACATGACGAAAACACCATTTTTTTGTGATACGATAGCAGACACTTTCCCTTTAGGATATTTTCCGTATGTCAAGTGTTTTTACAATTACTATTGTCACGAGATAATAATACTGTATCATGACGGATATTAATACTCAGCTTTTTATTCTATCAATTGACGAGAGCCATGATTTACAGGTCTTTTCTATATTATAGCGGAGTCTCGTCATTTTAACTTTTAAAAGCGGATAATTCTGAGCATACATGATTTGAAGGCCCCAAATTTCGACGGTGAGCTATGAACAATATTACTGATTATCTTAGCTAAAAAAAAAAGTACCGTTTCAGAAACTAAGGTTAGATTAGTCAAACAATGGTAAATCTGTCCCTTTAATAGTCAACTGAGAATAACAATTTTTTACGAGGATAATAAGTATGACCTTTTTAGTATTTTTAGTTTTATTTTGATTCACGTTTACATATTCTGATTGAGTGCCCATACTTCAGCTGTTTTTTTTTTTTTTGAAGCAGATTTTTAAATATCTGTATCTCGTAGTTTGTAATGGAAATCCATATGAACTGATGTGTTTTTTCTAACTTTAGTTTACATCTGACTAAATATTATTCCATAAAGAATATAATATGAAATATGCCCAACTGCACAAAAACGACTTGTAAAACGAAACTAAAGGTTTCCGATAGAATCCGGAATGGTGGCCCGCATCGATTTTTATACGCCCACATCTCTCTATGTGGACGTATATTGTTGGCACCCTTGTCTGATTTTTTGATGGAATCAAATGAAATTCGGTGTGTCTATACATATTCATAAAACGAAGATCAAGTTTGAATTTGAGCTATTTTCGACCGTTAGAAGCAGAGTTATTTCCATTGCCCCAAAATCTTGAATATTTACCATCCGCATGCCGTTGTGGGCGTATATGGCTGTCGTCCACTATCTAATTTTTCTTTTTTCGCAGGTTCGTCGATTTTTGTAGTTAGTAGTGTGGAGCCAATCAACCCCAGCTTCTACCTTGTCAACCAGGACATTCTGGGACCTATTTGGAACCAGTGGGGGTTGAGCCACTGCTGAATTATAGAGCCCATCGAATACGAGAATTTCAAAGTTCTCCCCGCTTGATAATTCTGATTTATATTCAGAAGATTTTCACTTTCAGACATTTCAGTTGCCATTTTTTCTAGCACGAGGGTGACGTTATTGGCGCGCAATAGAGGGGCATAACTCTTGCAAGTTATTACCAAATTCATTTATTGCACTTGGCTTGTTTTATGGATTTATGTATTTTGTATTACGGTTCTGATCGTTTGTACTTGGTATTTATTTTATTCCAGATTTTACCTCAAACAGGTCCAAATTATACATAATAAAAAAAAGATGCGGGACAACAGATTAAAATATTTCGTTTCATGTAAAAAATGGCCATTCCGGATTTTATCAGAAACCTTTAGTTTCGTTTTACATGTTACAGTTGAGCACGATGCGGTAAGTTGGGCAATGCGGCAAAACGAACCCACCGAATCATGGAAGTTTACAGAACCCATATTTCACAAGTTGTGTTCAATGTGCGTTTGCTGATCAGTATTATTGTTTTAAGTTATTCGTAGAGTCCACTGAAAACTATTATATCATCTTATAACCAAATTACAGATTAACAAAATGTGTTAGTTAATAGCAATAGATTATCCCTTCAGATTCAATCGCATCTGTCGTACATTGTGAATCTTAGATACACGTCCTCGGCCATACCAATGAAGATTTTCCTCAAATTTTGATCTACGGCTAATCAAAGCTAATTTTGCACACGTCGTTCGACTTATCATTGACAACAGTAAACAAGAATTGCAAATGGCGGCATCTTGACATTTCACCGGCCTATGCCATTGACAAATAAAGCCGCGAATAAAGTCCGCTGTCCGGTGCAGAATAATTAATACAGAAAAAGTGAGAGAAAGTGAAAACACGAGCTACGGGTCTGGACACGGTGCGGACACGTTTCGCTTCTACTATTTTCACTATCGATAATTCACACTATGATACACCCGACACCGTACCTTGTCTATTCAGGGTTTAGGGAGAAATTGTCATTTAATCAAACAAATTATGCCTCATGGTTTCAGTTGACATGAGAATTTGCCACCTCAACAAAAAAGTTATTAATTGTATAATATTGACCTTAATATTCAATCAAAATATAGTCTACTCTTATATTGTCCTTAATATTCAATCAAAATATAGTCTATTCTTATATTTCCCTTAATATTCAATCAAAATATAGTCTATTCTTATATTGTCCTTAATATTCAATCAAAATATAGTCTATTCTTATATTGTCCTTAATATTCAATCAAAATATAGTCTACTCTTATATTGTCCTTAATATTCAATGCAAAATATAGTCTACTCTTATATTGTCCTTAATATTCAATCAAAATATAGTCTATTCTTATATTGTCCTTAATATTCAATCAAAATATAGTCTACTCTTATATTGATCTTAATATTCAATTCATCATAATGCAAAATATAGTCTACTCTTATATTGTCCTTAATATTCAATTCATCATAATGCAAAATATAGTCTACCCTTATATTGTCCTTAATATTCAATCAAAATATAGTCTACTCTTATATTGTCCTTAATATTCAATCAAAATATAGTCTACTCTTATATTGATCTTAATATTCAATTCATCATAATGCAAAATATAGTCTACTCTTATATTGTCCTTAATATTCAATCAAAATATAGTCTACTCTTATATTGTCCTTAATATTCAATCAAAATATAGTCTACTCTTATATTGATCTTAATATTCAATTCATCATAATGCAAGATACTCTTACATTGATCTTCAAAACCTCTACAATAAAGTCAATTTCTCTTATGTATTACATAATTATATAAGCATTGGAAAATAAAAAATATGCTCTCAAACTTCCGAGTTAGAGTCACGTTGTCTTAAAGATACAGTTGTGGCATTTTGGGGAGTTGATTTGGAAATAGTCTTAAGAACTACTATCTACTAAAACTGTACGAAAATCACATAATACCTTCAAATAGATCTTGAACAAAAAATTTTACTTTTTAGCTTATCTTATATCTAAAAGATTGGGGTATCCGAAATTTAAAGTCTTGTAGATATATAGTCTCTGACACCAAGACACCTTCCGTCGCAGCTGTGCGTCGACGAAGTGAGATAAGATGATTGAGTCTACTGTATACATAACGTCATTGTTAGACGACTCGACGAGATCTCATTCATACATAGATAATCGTTGATATACTTTTACAGTAAGCTGCGGAAATGATTACTGATTAAATTAGCGGAAAAGTGTCCACGAGTCCAAGCTATGATTTACTCCCGGAGATCTCACTCCTGTCCCTTTAAGGCAATGATAACTTTTTCAGAAAGGATGGAGAAACATTTTATTCAATAGCATTCAACGATTTCAAAAAATTACATGCAAATTGTATGAATTAGAATGAGATGTGCATTGAATGATGTTAAAGAACTGAACACAGTCATTACATTGTATTAAAATACTCAGTTGATAACTTGGTACTCGTGATGTTTCTAAAGGAACTGAAGACAATACAATTCAAACAAATGCATTATGTAGAAACTAATAAATACTTTTTAAAAATTCCGTTATTAATGCGTTATAGTGATTTTTTGCGACTCTGCAAAATCTTATAAGTTATATAAATTGTTCATTGATTACGGAGTTTCTCATAGAAAATTTAGATGAGAGGAAAAATTTTGTTAAGTAGATAAATATTTTACAATAGGTAAGATGAAAGTCCTATTATTGATGAGCAACAACCCGAGAATTTTTAATTTAATTTCTAAACAGGAAGTACAAAAATTGATTGTTAAACAGACATTTGGGATCAAGTTCTTCTTTGTTTTGTCTCTAGGCTATAGACTTTTAGCCGATCTAGAAACCCCGAATCGACTTCACAAAAGTGATATAGATTATTCCGTTTTTTATTTTGTTATTTTCCTCTTACAAATCTGTTTTGTAAGCGGGAAAATAGAAGCCAAGAAATACAATATTTTGGAAGAAAAACTTTATACAGGAAACAAACAACACGTTTGCCTATAGTCGATATACATTAATCAAAATTGATGGCCAATCACTAAGAACTATGCAACTCACTGACTAAGAAGTAAAAAATGTGGATATGTATATAGGTCCGACTAAAAAGCGCAAACAAGAGCAAACAAGCGCAAACAAGAGAAAACAAGCGCAAACAAAGCGTAAACCAAGCACAAGCAAAGCGTAAACCAAGCGCAAACCAAGCTCAAACCGGTTCAAATAATATTCTATTGGACCTTTTTTATGCTGTTTGAAGGGAAATATAAGATTTTAAACCAGATTGTTACAAATACGTAATTTTCAATTACAAAAGAAAATAGTTATATGTCTCAAGCGGATTCGATAATCGAAATTTGTTTGGTGTATCAGAATGTTAGCATCGATAGTTAACGAGAATCTCACGGATAGGCATTTAATGTAGGATTGACACCTGAAAGTGTTGGTTTTACTCAGTTTTGTTATAAAAAGGGGTGTGAACAGATTACTCAAGGCACATCAACTGGCAACATCTTAGATGTTAAAAAAAAGTAGCATGGAAACCTCTTTACAGTCACTTAAAATTGTTTTATGTTTTGGCTGAAGCACATAGTGGGCATCTTAAATCGTTTCCGCGTCCTTTAATATCGATCGATATTATATATAATTCATATATTCTGTGCTTTTACCGTCACTTGCATTTTACCGCGCTTGTTTACACTTGTTTGCTCTTTTAAGTCGAACCGTAAGTATATTACTGAAACGTTTACAACCAAAGAACACAAATACAGGAATGTATCTAAATATCTTTACAAAATAGTTACGAACGTTATATATGTTTTGAAAGCTAAATACAAAGGTATACACATATCTATATCAGTATAACGTCTAGATCATTTGGATAAATATCTTTTTTTATGTTAGCTAAATTTGTGGCTCTATTGTAATATATGGTCGAACAGCTCGAGTGTCTATGTGTTATCAATTTTGCACAAGTGGCTTTGCGTAGTGGTACCACATAAACGGAATTGTCTGTGGGAATAAAAGCCGATGGGCTTAAAATAATCATCGATATCTGCTTTGATACGGTAGATTATCATGGGATTCGTAATATGACACGTTACTTCTCCTCTGTAAAGAGCTTCGGTCGCCAGTGCACTTCTGTCATATCCATCTTACTGGTGAAAAAGTGCTCAACCCCCAAATGCGGAATGTCAAGAACACTGACAATATGTCGATTGGTCAATCGTTGATCAGCCATCGCCATGTAATGCAAATGTTTTCCGGATTGGTTGCTGTTGAAGATCTTTCTGGACGCAGGTCATCGTAAAGGCTCTCAGTCATGTTTGAATTCAGTCCATTTGAATTTTACATAGCAAAAAAAGGGGGAATAACTCTCAAAACATGTTACTGTGTTGGGTTAAGCTCTTTCAGTTGCAGATACAGTACACAAATTATCGAACATCAATTATTGCCACATAATGTGTTATCTTGAAGGTAGTGAGTAAACAAACTTATCGAACATCAATTATTGCCACATAATGTGTTATCTTGAAGGTAGAGAGTAAACAAACTATCTAACATCAATTATAGTCACATAATGTGTTTTCTTGAAGGTAGAGAGTAAATAAATTATCGAACATCAATTATAGTCACATAATGTGTTATCTTGAAGGTAGAGAGTAAAGAAATTATCGAGTATCAATTATTACCACATAATGTGTTATCTTGAAGATAGAGAATAAACAAACTATCTAACATCAATTATAGTCACATAATGTGTTGTCTTGAAGGTGGTGAGTAAAGAAATTATCGAGTATCAATTATTACCACATAATGTGTTATCTTGCAGAGAGAGTAAACAAACTATCTAACATCAATTATAGTCACATAATGTGTTATCTTGAAGGTAGAGAGTAAAGAAATTATCGAGTATCAATTATTACCACATAATGTGTTGTCTTGAAGATAGAGAGTAAACAAACTATCTAACATCAATTATAGTCACATAATGTGTTGTCTTGAAGGTAGAGAGTAAACAAACTATCGAACATCAATTATAGTCACATAATGTGTTGTCTTGGAGGTAGAGAGTAAACAAACTATCGAACATCAATTATTACCACATAATGTGTTGTCTTGAAGATAGAGAGTAAACAAACTATCTAACATCAATTATAGTCACATAATGTGTTGTCTTGAAGGTGGTGAGTAAAGAAATTATCGAGTATCAATAAGATTACATAAAACTATAAACTTCACACTACCTGGCAAATATAATAAGAATCATAATAGTAGGGAGTATTTTGCATTTCACATTTTCCATCTTCTACATGTAAATGAACATAATAAAAATCTGATTCATTACTGGGTTCATCTGGACCCCAAATGAATGCCAACATCTGTTCATCATTACTGAACCACCATTCTCCGTTCATTGAAAAATCCTCCTCTCCATCAATTGTATAATCTGCATTTCCTTCTAAAAAATTAAATACGTTACTCTAAAACTGGGTTTGCCTTGATAATTAATCTAGGCTTGATAACAGAAAGATCTACTGCCTTGTTATGATTTATATTTGAATCTGACCGTATCTCGCCCTCCCCCCACCTCCGATCCCCCTCCCGTAGTCCCGACCCTTTACTAGTCTAAAAATATTGAAAAGATACTTACCATCTGTTACCATGAGTTGATCACAGATATGTCGATAGGCATCATCTGTTTTAGCACTGACTAATACATAGCCATCATTGTCACAGTTTGAGTAATCTGTGTTTACAGTTTTAGCCATATTATTCATAAATGGTTTATAGCATAAATCATATTTTCTGTTTCTTACAAAGTCAACTGGGCAATTCTCTGTGGAAAAAAAATATATATCAGTTAATGTGTTGTGGAGATGCTCATGCATCTAAACCTTATTAATGGGACTGATGCGACTCTTTGATTTGGGTCTTCAATATATGTAAATCTGTCTTCAGAACTACTTAAACTGCTTGAAAATTGCAATATAGACCTCTCACAAAAAAATTTACTTTTTACTTATTTCGTTCACAATATTCTGAATATTGGGGTATCCGAACGTTAACGCCTTGTTGATATAATCTCCGACACCAAGACATATTACGTCGTAGCTGTGAGTTGTCGAAGTAGGGCAGGATGATTGGGCCTACTGTAAACCCGTAACGTCTTTAAGGGATATTTAAAATAAAAAGCCTCTTAAAATGACAACTGATATAAAAATAAATAAATATATAAAATAATTTTCAAACATAGATAATTATGGATACATTTGGAGTTGAAGGCCGCATCTGTCCCTTTAAGTGTGTGCGTTGAATTGCTTCAATGCAAATTGATACAATTTGTGCCTTAATCATTGTTACCCTGAGAATGATGATAAAGTGAAGTGAATGTCGGCGATATCAGATACCAACCAATAGTGGTGACGTTGCAGCTAAATATCGGGATGAAGTAAACACCTTCCCATTATATTTCTAATGTAAGAAAAAATTGCCAAAATGTCATCAGATTAGTGTATAGCAGAGACAAACCTCCACGCGTCAATTTTGGTGAATTGAATTACGACATACCGTAGTATACCTGAACGATAATTTGTGCGGATTCGAGGATTTTTTCCTTTTCACTCAAACGTAAATCTTGACAAGTAGTGATGATTGGTGGTGTGGTGTGCGAAAGTTATCAAGTTCATTACAAAATAAAAAACATAACGAACATGTGAACACGTGTCAAAAAGTGAATATCCTAGATCTTTCATTACCTTTATTACAATACTAGTGCATTCTTTCATTGTATTGCATGGTAAACTCTGATTTATAATAAGAAAAATGGCGTGGGTAGTAAAAGAGAACAAAATATAGAAAATTTTAGTTACCTTGATACAGAGTGTAATAAGAGTTGCCATATTCTGGTTCTACATATGAATTTAATTGAAACTGAACCGATTTTGTCTGACAAACTTCAGAATATTTATTATAAAAGAATGATACACATGCTAAGTCTCTGGAGCACTGAATCGCACAAATTGTCACTGACTGTATATTATCTAAATTTAACAGTGTATAATCTTCAGATGTCGTATCCTCCAAATCATCTCTTCTGATCATCAAAATGTCCATCGAGCACACAATATAAACTACAATTGAAAACAACACCAAACAAAGATTTATCTTCATTTTGTACAAAGCTGAAGTGAAGTATAAAATGAATTTGCACAATGTGATCTGAAATTGATGTTACACGTTGAACAGATCAGTGCTAAATGGTATATAGAAGACGTCTGGTTGCTATGAACAATGATATAATTATAATATTAAAGGACGACAATCCAGAAATTTCAATAAGCCAAGTAAAAAACTTTGGATATAGATTTTATTTGGTTGAAAAAAATATATATTATAAAAATATCCAAAAAAATTATTTGCCTTTTTCACCAAAATGGATACTTTTCATGTCCGGGTCATAGTGTATATCGTTTGATTTCTGCACTAACTATACTGAACAGATGACCTATGGATGACTGACCTTAGTTACCCATCGTACGTTGAAACCATATTTTGAAACTTTGTTCTGTGTGAGTATCTTGATGACGAAAACACCATTATTTGTGATACGATAGCAGACACTTTCCATTTGAGATATTTTCCGTATGTCAAGTGTTTTTACAATTACTATTGTCATGAGGTAATAATACTGTATCATGACGGATATTAATTATCTGCTATTTATCTATCAATTGACGAGAACCATGGTTTACAGGTCTTTTCTATATTATAGTGGAGTCTCAAGAAAAAACCAGTCTCATTTTAACTGTCAAAAGCGGATATTTCTACCATGGACTGTCTGTACGTATCGTTTCACTCCATAAAATTTTAAGGGGATTAAAAAATTTCAAGCTAAGTGTGTTGATATTGTAAAGCTAAAGTCAATAATCCATGTTCCCAAGCTGGAATCTTGCCAGTTTTCTTGTATCCGGTGCCGAAAATATGGAACTTAAATATTCGCGCCTCTTGCCGAGAGTGTTCCCCTCTTATCTCAATATCAGTCCGATATCGAACCAATCAAATGACGTTATTCTTATATATAACTCCGCTGGTTGACCTTTTCTAGTTCGACGAGGTCAACTTTCTGTAAACAATTTGATCGACAAAATGAAGTGTTCAATTCATCTGAAATCGAAAGATCATGCAAAAGTTATTCAATTTTCGGAAACTTGTTGGACAAGAGCCGTATCTTTTGCAAAGAATGTATTTATCTGGAGAGCGGGGAAAAGAGAAATGCAGAAAGATGTATTTGCAGGAAAGAAAATGAAAGTGGATTTTTCACACGACATGTTGACATGTTTGTTGTTTGTTGACATTTTTGGTTTGGTCGCTCGTTGTGAATTTTTACCAGAAAAACTTCTAGCTTTTGATTAATTGTAAAACTAATATGCAGTTTTAAATAGATTGTTTTCTAAAAGGTTCACATTTAGGGCCTATAGCCAAAAGTAAAGTCAATATCGTTGTATTAGGCTTACTAAAAACTTTGGTGTCTGCGTTATGCCAACTTTGTTTTTTTTTTCGTAGGGACCGTGCTACATTATGTTGATGACATATTTTTTTAATAATTTATTAAGATAATTTGTTGGAAGGGTTGCTCCTTATATGGTTTTTAAAAACATGTTGGCTATCGTTAAAGCTACTACCTGTTTTTACAACTGCCACAGAAAGTGTAAAACTCCTAAGCAATTTTGTCCCATAGAACAGGTTGCAATCAATATATAAAAAAAACGGAATATTCTGTATATCTAATATTAATGTGTTAAATATTTTGATTATTACATAAACTTACATAAGCTTATTTATATTAGAAAACATTCAAGATTGATGAAAACAAATTGTTACTGGTAAAGAAAATTATATATCTTTATTAAAATCACAATGGAGAAGTATACGTCTAATTCCAGAGAAGCAATCGCCCTCCAGATTTTCATTTTTCGTAAAGATGATGCATAATGGTGTCAGTTTGTTTGTTAGGGCAGTGGCTATCAAGTCATAAATGTGTTCATCCTTGTTAACTCCTTATTAATTATTTGGATGGGAATGGATCTTGCCAATTCGAGTTTATGTGATAGTAATGTTTATTGTTAATGTAATAAAAGTTGCGAAAGAAAAAGGTGTCCATCTACTTTTTTTTCATTCACTGATTACTTTGGTCGTGTGAACGTCTCAAAATGGAAATTGACAAATTTAGAAGAGGATTGATGTATGGTTGATATATTAAGACTATTCTAGACTGGTAAATGTGAAATATTATTATTAAATTGTCTCTTAGTATAACTAACAGTCATAATATTTCATATCTGCAACTGAATGTGGTGGGTTAAATGAAAGTATTTGAATTATCTCCCTTTACAAGTTTAGCATTTTTGAATGTTGAGTGTATTTTTGTTATAACCTTTGGCTAACAGTTTTTTTTAACTGATTTATAACATCTGGGGAGACTGCACCATATATTCAACAAATCCTGAATGTTTCATGCCTAACAGAGTCTCAGAATATTTTTCATAGCTCATTAAAGTTCAAGATTTGTATAAAAATCAAATCAAAATGCGCATCTTTAAAAGCTGAAATATGGAGTTGTGGCACTTTCTGAAAGTGGGAACGTGGATTTTTAGCTAGCTATAGCACATAGGAATAGATTCCAGGTGAGAAAAAGTAATCTCCAGGTTGTGCTACAAAACGTCGTTTTAAAGCATATTTGAGAGGCACAGTCCATGGCCTATAGGAATACATGATTTGAAGGCCTCAAATTTCGACGGTGAGCTATGTACAATATTACTCATTATCTTAGCTAAAAAAAAAGTACCGTTTCAGAAACTAAGGTTAGATTAGTCAAACAATGGTTAATCTGTCCCTTTAATAGTCAACTGAGAATAACAATTTTTTACGAGGATAATAAGTATGACCTTTTTAGTATTTTTTTAGTTTCATTTTGATTTACGTTTACATATTCTGATTGAGATCCAAACTTCAGCTGTTTGCGTAACCTTCTTTTTCAGTTTTTTTTTTGAAGCAGATTTTTAAATATCTGTATCTCGTGGTTTTGTAATGGAAATTCATATGAACTGATGTGTTTTTTATAACTTTAGTTTACATCTGACTAAATATTATTCCATAAAGAATATAATATGAAAGTTATAAAAGACTGAAATCTTGGAAGTTAGCAGAACTCATATTTCACAAGTTGTGTTCAATGTGCGTTTGCTGATCAGTATTATTGTTTTAAGTTATTCGTAGAGTCCACTGAAAACTATTATATCATCTTATAACCAAATTACAGATTAACAAAATGTGTTAGTTAATAGCAATAGATTATCCCTTCAGATTCAATCGCATCTGTCGTACATTGTGAATTTTAGATACATGTCCTCTACCATACCAATGAAGGTTTTCCTCAAATGCCAAGCAATTTTGAAGCCCCCGTAACAATACTAATAGGAAAACATACGTTCAAACATCCCAGCATTTATCTTGGCATCATAATCTGAACAGTTAAATTCGCGACTGACGTAGACAGAATTGATATCCGAGAGGAAAAGAATGGTAACACCAGCATTTTGGTGTCATTAAAACGAATTGTATTCTTCTTTTGAACCACTGTTAATTTTTGATTACGTGCTCAAATTGCCATTCTAACTACTTTGGCTTAATATCTTTATATATTAACTATAATATTCATCATGCAATATAATGGTCGAACCGCACCACGTCTAGTGCACCGCACCTTTCAATATTGCACTCGGGGCTTGGCGTAGTGATACCACTTGTGTGCGTATTTAATATTGCTAAAAATATTGCTGAGTGTATCACAACGCCAAACCCCGAGTGCAATATTGAAAACCTATAGACACGTGTGCGTTCGACTTTTATTACATACTATTTCGTTGTGGAAACGTTTCAAATCTACTATTTTCACTATCGATAATCCAAACTATGATACACCGGACACCGTACCTCGTCTATTCGGGGCTTTAGGGAGAAATTGTCATTTAATAAAACAATTAATGCCTTTTAGTTTCAGTTGACATGAGAATTTGCCAACTCACCACAAAAGGTATTAATTGTATAATATTTCCCTTAATATTCATCATAATGCAAAATATAGTCTACTCTTATATTGTCCTTAATATTCAATCAAAATATAGTCTACTCTTATATTGTCCTTAATATTCAATTCATCATAATGCAAGATACTCTTACATTGATCTTCAAAACCTCTACAATAAAGTCAATTTCTCTTATGTATTACATAATTATATAAGCATTGGAAAATAAAAAATATGCTCTCAAACTTCTGAGTTTGAGTCATGTTGTCTTAAAGATACAGGTGTGGCATTTTGGGGAGTTGATTTGGAAATAGTCTTAAGAACCACTATCTACTAAAACTGTACGAAAATAATACCTTCAAATAGATCTTGAACAAAAAATTTAACTTTTTATTTATTTCGTTCACAAGCTTATCTAATTTCTAAAAAATTGTGGTATCCAAAATTTAAAGACTTGTAGATCTAGTCTCTGACACCAAGACACCTTCCGTCGCAGCTGTGCGTAGACGAAGTGGGATAAGATGATTGAGTCTACTGTATACATAACGTCACTGTGTTGCGGAAATTATTACTGATTAAATTAGCGGGAAAATTCACGTTTCTGAGACCAAGCTATGATTTGCTCCCGGAGATCTCGCTTCCGTCCCTTTAAGGCAATGATAACTTTTTCAGAAAGGATGGAGAAACATTTTATTCAATAGCATTCAAGGATTTCAAAAAATTACATGCAAATTGTATGAATTAGAATGAGATGTGCATTGAATGATGTTAAAGAACTGAACACAGTCATTACATTGTATTAAAATACTCAGTTGATAACTTGGTACTCGTGATGTTTCTAAAGGAACTGAAGACAATACAATTCAAACAAATGCATTATGTATACATGTACCGGTACGTACAAACTAATAAATACTCGTTAAAAATTCCCTTATTAATGCTAGTGATTTTTTGCGACTCTGCAAAATCTTTTAAGTTATATAAATTGTTCAATTGTTCGTTTCTCATAGAAAATTTAGATGAGAGGAAAAATTTTGTTAAGTAGATAAATATTTTACAATAGGTAAGATGAAAGTCCTATTATTGATGAGCAACAACCCGAGAATTTTTAATTTGATTTCTAAACAGGAAGTACAAAAATTGATTGTTAAACAGACATTTGGGATCAAGTTCTCTCTTTGTTTCTCGATGGAAGAAAGATTCTGTAGTTTCTTTGATTTGTCTCCAGACTATAGACTTTTAGCCGATCTAGAAACCTCGAAATCGACTTCACAAAAGTGATATAGATTATTCCGTTTTTAATGTGGCTATCTCGGATAACCCATCCTGTTCGTGTGGTCACCACTATGAAGATTCAGAACATTTCCTCCTATATTGCTCGAATTTCATAGACCCTAGACAAATTACTATCAGACTTCTCCCTCCCTGTTTTCAGGACATTAGAACTCTTCTTTATGGAAATATACATCTTAGTAAAGATGAAAACGAATTAATAGTTAATACAGTCCACAAATTCTTTAATCTTACTAAACTTTTTGACTAATAAAAGTTATTTTACCTTATAAAACATGATATGTACACCAAACCCCAAACCTTAAACGCTTCATACTGATGATTCACATTTAACCAACGAACCTGTTCGACGCACTTCAGCTTCCATTCGATAACTGAACTTCTCTCTTTTTTTAACATATATTTTTGTATATTTATTTATCTTGTCTCGTTACCGTTATACTTTTTATATATTATATTTGTAACTGTGAATACAGGCGAAGCAGATTAACATAAGCTACCAGCTTGTTTCTGTATCGTCATTTCATATCGTTCTATAATTTGTATTGCACTGCTAAATGAAATAAATATTGTTTAAATCAAATCAACAACAATTATTGCCACATAATGTGTTGTCTTGAAGGTAGAGAGTAAACAAACTATCTAACATCAATTATATTAAAATTATAAACTTCACACTACCTGGCAAATATAGTAATAATCATAAGTGTAGAGAGTAGTTTGCATTTCACATTTTCCATCTTCCATATGTAAATGAACATAATAAAAATCTGATTCAATAATGGGTTCATCTGGACCCCAAATGAATGCCAACATTTGTTCACCATTACTGAACCACCAATCGCCGTTCATCGAAATATTCTCCTTTCCGTCAATTATATATTCTCCATATCCATCTAAAAAATTAAATATGTTACTCTGAAACTGGGTTTGCCTTGTTAATTAATCTAGGCTTGATAACAGAAAGATCTGCTGCCTTGTTATGATTTAAAACAAGTCTCAAAATTATGACTAGTCTCAAAATATTGAAAAGATACTTACCATCTGTTACCATGAGTTGATCACAGATATGTCGATAGGCATCATCTGTTTTAGCTCTGGCTATTACATAGCCATCATTTTCACAGTTTGAGTAAGCTTCGTCTACATTATAAACTATATTCAAAAACGGTTTATAACATAAATCATATTTTCTGTTTCTTACAAAGTCAACTGGGCAATTCTCTGTGGAAATAAAATATATATCAGTTGATGTGTTGTGGAGATGCTCATGCATGTAGAACTTATTAATGGTAAAAAGTGAATATCCCAGATCTTTCATTACCTTTATTACAATACTAGTGTATTCTTTCATTGTATTGCATGGTAAACTGATTTATAATAAGTAAAATGGCGTAGGTAGTAAAAGAGAACAAAATATAGAAAATAATAAACCCCGAATTCTAGTTACCTTGATGCAGAGTGTAATAAGAGTTGCCATATTCTAGTTCTACATATGAATAGGGTTGAAACTGAACTGATTTTGTCTGACAAACTTCAGAATGTTTATTATAAAAGAATGATACACATGCTAAGTCTCTGGAGCACTGAATCCCACAAATTGTCACTGACTGTATATTATCTAAATGTAACAGTGTATAATCTTCAGATGTCGTATCCTCCAAATCCTCTCTTCTGATCATCAAAATGTCCATCGAGCACACAATATAAACTACAATTGAAAACAACACCAAACAAAGATTTATCTTCATTTTGTACAAAGCTGAAGTGAAGTATAAAATGAATATTGCACAATGGGATCAGAAATTGATGTTACACGTTGAACAGATCAGTACTAAATGGTATATAGAAGACGTCTGGTTGCTATGAACAATGATATAATTATAATATTAAAGGACGACAATCCAGAAATTTCAATAAGCCAAGTAAAAAAACTTTGGCTATAGATTTTATTTGGTTGAAAAAAAATTATATCTAATAAAAATACCAGAACATGGTGTATATCGTGTGATTTCTGCACTAACTATACTGAACAGGTGACCTATGGACTGACCTTAGTTACCCATCGTACGTTGAAACCATATTTTGAAACTTTGTTCTGTTTGAGTATCTTGATGCCGTGAACCAATCTGGTAAGAGTTTAATAGGCTAACATGGCGAAAACACCATTATTTGTGATACGATAGCAGACACTTTCCATTTGTGATATTTTCCGTATGTCAAGTGTTAATGTTTTAACAATTACTATTGTCACGAGGTAATAATACTGTATCATGACGGATATTAATTATCTGCTATTTATTCTATCAATTGACGAGAGCCATGGTTTACAGGTCTTTTTATATTATAGCGGAGTCTCAAGAAAAAACATTTTAACTGTCAAAAGCGGATAATTCTGAGCATACATGATTTGAAGGCCCCAAATTTCGACGGTGAGCTATGAACAATATTACTGATTATCTTAGCTAAAAAAAAAGTACCGTTTCAGAAACTAAGGTTAGATTAGTCAAACAATGGTAAATCTGTCCCTTTAATAGTCAACTGAGAATAACAATTTTTTACGAGGATAATAAGTATGACCTTTTTAGTATTTTTTTAGTTTTATTTTGATTTACGTTTACATATTCTGATTGAGATCCAAACTTCAGCTGTTTGCGTAACCTTCTCTTTCAGTTATTTTAAGCAGATTTTTAAATATCTGTATCTCGTGGTTTTGTAATGGATATCAAAATGAACTGATGTGTTTTTTCTAACTTTAGTTTACATCTGACTAAATATTATTCCATAAAGAATATAATATGAAAGTTATAAAAGGCAACATAATATTTTTCGTCTAACAGAAAAAAATTCAAAATTTTCGGAAGGATGTTCTTCTGACTGTCCATTTCATTTACAGTTCTGAGTAAGAAACATCCATTAAAGTCTTCCAACACACTTAACAAGAAAAAAACATATATAAAATCTGCCTATCGTAAACAAACCAAGTTGTATACATATTTATCTCATTTTAGATTTTCATATTCAATATCTTTTATACCCTTGAAAACATAATGGACTAGTCGTCTTTATGTTTTGAAAAATAATTCTGTTTTTTGACTATAATATATTTTTAGATTCAATATAATAATATATTGAAAAAAGTCAAGTCAAGTTTTAGTCTGTCGTAATTTTCTTCCTGGGTGAAAAATGGCGAAATATTTTATAGTTTGTGATCTCATTATTCTCGTTATTCAATATTTTCTTGTAGCAGATTGTAAGTATGATGTATTTATTGTTCTATGGTTCTGGAATATATAATGCAGGATTGATGTTCATTCCCCCAAGTCAGAGAGTGTATGTGGTAGTAAAGCAAATCGGGACATTTGCACACCCTTGTGAGTTACGCGATATAATAATTTTGTGTATCGCATATGTATCAAGCAATGTATAGAAAGCGATAAAGAAAGTCTCACAAATTCGGTATACAAAAAGCATTTTATTTGTTAGTTTTGCTCCAATGCCATTTGGAAACTGACACAAGATATCGAAGATCTGAAACACGGTGTTTTCTAGTCATATACATCTCACTGTATTCTAGGAAAGTCCCTAAATTGTTGTAAAGACACTCACAACACTTCTTTCTTCTCTTTGTCGTAAATTTTCAACAAAAATTGTTTGAAATGTTGCTCAAGTTTAAGCTTGGAGATTACAGAATTATGAATTCATGATGATCTGCAAGAGAAGTGAAATAGAATTATAACGGTTATTCTGATATGGCAATATGATGGTCAACAGTTTGGTTATTTAAACTTATTTACATGTCATTGTTACAATAGTATACTAATTGTGATATGTTATCTGTATTATAGGTAAACAGTTTGGTTATTTAGAGTTATTTACATGTCATTGTTATAATAGTATACTAATTGTGATATGTTATCTGTATTATAGGTAAACAGTTTGGTTATTTAGAGTTATTTACATGTCATTGTTACAATAGTATACTAATTGTGATATGTTATCTGTATTATAGGTAAACAGTTTGGTTATTTAGAGTTATTTACATGTCATTGTTACAATAGTATACTAATTGTGATATGTTATCTGTATTATAGGTAAACAGTTTGGTTATTTAGAGTTATTTACATGTCATTGTTACAATAGTATACTAATTGTGATATGTTATCTGTATTATAGGTAAACAGTTTGGTTATTTAGAGTTATTTACATGTCATTGTTATAATAGTATACTAATTGTGATATGTTATCTATATTATAGGTAAACAGTTTGGTTATTTATAGTTATTTACATGTTATTGTTATAATAGTATATTAATTGTGATATGTTATCTATATTATAGGTAAACAGTTTGGTTATTTAGAGTTATTTACATGTCATTGTTATAATAGTATACTAATTGTGATATGTTATCTATATTATAGGTAAACAGTTCGGTTATTTAGAGTTATTTACATTTCATTATTATAATAGTATACTAATTGTGATATGTTATCTGTATTATAGGTAAACAGTTTGGTTATTTAGAGTTATTTACATGTCATTGTTACAATAGTATACTAATTGTGATATGTTATCTGTATTATAGGTTATCAGTTTGGTTATTTAGAGTTATTTACATGTCATTGTTATAATAGTATACTAATTGTGATATGTTATCTATATTATAGGTAAACAGTTTGGTTATTTATAGTTATTTACATGTCATTATTATAATAGTATATTAATTGTGATATGTTATCTGTATTATAGGTAAACAGTTTGGTTATTTATAGTTATTTACATGTTATTGTTATAATAGTATATCTAATTGTGATATGTTATCTATATTATAGGTAAACAGTTTGGTTATTTAGAGTTATTTACATGTCATTGTTATAATAGTATACTAATTGTGATATGTTATCTGTATTATAGGTAATCAGTTTGGTTATGTAGAGTTATTTACATGTCATTATTATAATAGTATATTAATTGTGATATGTTATCTGTATTATAGGTAAACAGTTTGGTTATTTAGAGTTATTTACATGTCATTGTTACAATAGTATACTAATTATGATATGTTATCTGTATTATAGGTAAACAGTTTGGTTATTTAGAGTTATTTACATGTCATTGTTATAATAGTATACTAATTGTGATATGTTATCTGTATTATAGGTAAACAGTTTGGTTATTTAGAGTTAACTACATGTCATTATTATAATATTATACTAATTGTGATATGTTATCTGTATTATAGGTAAACAGTTTGGTTATTTAGAGTTATCTACATGTCATTATTATAATAGTATACTAATTGTGATATGTTATCTGTATTAT